GGATATTTTATTTTTCTATTGGATATATTTGAGAATTAATTCAGAAAAAGGATCAATTTAGAACAGGTTTACCATTACTGACTTGCTCAAACTTGTCTTAGCACTCAAGTTCATTCAGGCATTATTTCAGTGTTTGAATTCAGGCAATGTTATCTTTCTTACTGGCCATGTTTCTGTTCATTGTAATCATATCAAAGAACACGTTCTTATATCTAATATGTATTATTCTGTATTCACAGCTTTTGATGGGAAGCATATTGAACCTTTAAGTTCTTCTATAGTCCTGAGATTCTACTGTATCTTTTTTCTTTTTTTTTTCTTTTAAGCACAACCATGAACAGTTTTCCATCATGCCCTGATCTCCTTACTAACGTAGCTATTTCTCACATTGTATTTTCTTGTTAATTTATAAACTTTACATTGGAGCTGACTGTATGCATTATCAATAGCTTGCACATGATTAATGAAAGATTATATTTATTACCTTTGTATTTTTTATCTTTTATTTTTAAATGGCTTGATTCCCTGTCACTCCTTTACTTTTAGTTGAACTTTCCTAACTCCTCAAGTTTATTTTACTTGGTTCCAGTGCCCTTTCTGCTTAACTGTTTCCTCTAAGAAACACACTACCTTGATCATGGCTATGGCTAGAGTGACCCTTTATTAATAAAATAGGCACTTCTTTGATCCTGATATTGACTGTCATTTTATGTAACACATTCTAGTTTGTTTGATATTCACCTAAGTAAAAAATATTACCAATTCTTGCTCTGGTTGGTTTGACTCAGCGGTTAGAGCGTCGGCCTGCGGTACAGAGAGACCCGGGTTCGGTTCCCGCTAAGGGCACGTACCTCGGTTGCAGTTTGTCCCCAGCCCTGGTTGGGTCGTGCAGGTGGTAGCCACTCGATGTGTCCCTTTTACGTCGATGTTTCTCTCTCTCTCTCCCCCACCCACTCTATCTGAACAAAAAATGGAAAAATGTCCGCGGGTAAGGATAAAAAAAAATATATTACCGGTTCTTTACATTTTAAAGTGGCTATTATGTTCTATAGCAATGTGTAGCACTTACTTATTCTCAGTTTTCCACAAAGATATAACAGTCAAGTACAAATGTTGTCACTTATCTGACTTTAAAAGTGTCTATTCTACATTGTTATCTAAGTTTCCTTTGAACCATATCCATACATTGAAGAAATCAACACTTTTCTACTTAATTATTATCCTGTATCAGTCTGGGCCAGATGTTGATCAAATGTCCCATGTGTGCTTAGGTTGAGTGCCAAGAATTTTAGGGGAGGTACAGAAGAAGCACAAAACATACAAAAAAAAACATACAGTATGGCAGTGGAAATAAGAAGTGTACTTGAATTTAATAACAAGAAGTAGAAGGAAGGAGTTCATGATTTAGTAGACTATGAGTTTAATGTAAAACAGCCCTGAATTTAATAATGTAGAACTTTTAAAATCTAATAATAATAATAGAAAGAGCCCATATCAAGGACTGTGAACATAACTAATAAATTTTCTTTATATTGAATTTATTGGGGTGACACTGGTTAACAATATTATACGTGTTTCAGGTGCACACAACACATCATCTGTACACTGTAATGTGTTCACCACCCCAGATCAAGTCTCCTTCCATCACCATTTATCCCTCTTATACCCTCCTCCACTTCCTCCCACCCCTCTTCCCCTGGCAGTCACCACACTGACTAATAACTTTTTAAAAAAAACATATTAAAAACTACAAGGTATTCAATTATCAGATACTGGCTTTTTGTATTTTTAAAAAATTTTATTCAGTCTTTTATTTATTTTTAGCTATCATGGCAATTTAGACATTTATAATTAGTATCCCAATATTTTTTATTAAGATAAAATTGATATTAACATTACATTACCTTTCAATTGTACAACATAATTTGATCTTTGTATGCGCCATAATCACCACAATGATTCTAGTTACTAGCTGTCACCATACAACTGACCCCCTTCACCCATTTTGCCCACTCCCCAGATAACCATTCATCTATTCCCTGTTTCTATGAGTTTTGTTTTGTTTGTTCTTTTGTTTTGTTTTTTAGATTCTACATATAAGTTAAATAATATGGTCTAGGCATACCTCGGAGATACTGCAGGTCATGTTCCAGATCACTGCAATAAAGTGAATATCTCAGCAAAGCAAGTCACATGAATTGTTGGTTTCCTAGTATATACAAAAGTTATGTTTATACTATAGTCTATTAAGTGTGCAAGTCTTCTATGAATGGTAATATTTTTGCTGGTGGAGGGTCTTGGCTCCATGTGATGACTGCTGAGTGATCAGAGTGGTGGTGGTTGAAGGTTGGGGTGGCTGTGGCAGGGTCTTAAAATAAGAACAATGAAGTTTTCGCATTGGTTGATTATTCCTTTTATGGATGATTTCTCTGTAGCATGTGATGCTATTTGATAGCATTTTACCCACAGTAGAACTTCTTTCAGAATTGAAGTCAATGCTTTCAAGCCCTGCTGCTGCTTTATCAGTTAAGTTCATGTAATACTCGAAATCCTTTGTTGTCTTTTCAACAGTCTTCGCAGCATCTTTGCTAGGAGTAGATTTCATCTCAAGAAACCACTTTCTTTGATCATGCATTAGAGGCAGCTCCTCATCCGTTTAAGTTTTATCATGAGATTGCAGTGATTCAGTTACTGCAGGCTCTACTTCTATTTTAGTTCTCTTGCTGTTTCCACCACAGAAATCTTGAATCCCCCAATCTCGTGCCCCTCAATCTCGTGCATGAGGGCTGGAATTGACCTCCTCCAAACTCCTGTTAATGGTGATATGTTTTACCGCTTCTCATGACTCATGAATGTTGGCCTGCCTTGGTTTTTGACATGCCTGCCACACTAACTTAATCATTTCTAGCTTTTGATTTAAAGTGGGAGATTGTGATTCTTCCTTTCACGTGAACACTTAGAGGCCATTGTAGGGTTATTAACTGGCCTATTTCAATATTGTTGTGTCTCAGGGAATAGGGAGGCCCAAGGAGAGGGAGAGAGATGGAGGAATGGCTTGTCAGTGGAACAGTCAGAACACACACGACGTTGATTAAATCCAGTTTGATATGGGTGTGGTTTGTCATACCCCTAAATAATTATAATAGTAACATCAAAGATCACTGATCAAGTATCACCATAATGAATATAATAATTATGAATAGTTTTGAAATATTGCAAGAATTACCAAAATGTGACACAGAGACACAAAGTAAATGCTGTTGGAATAATGGCACCGATAAACCTTGCTCGACACAGGTTGCCACTAACCTTCGGTTTGTAAAGAACACAGTGTTGTGAAGCACAGTGCAGTGAAGTGCAGTCAGAGGAGATAGCTCTGCGTTTGTCTTTCTCTGCCAGACTTATTTCACTCTAAAATCCATCATTCCTTTTTATGCCTACAGCCCCTTATCTAGCCAAGACCACCGTCTGTTGTCTGGGCTACCTGAAGGGACCAGGGGATGAGTGGGTGGGGCATTTTGGAAGAAGAGGTATTGGGTTAGAATATATTTAAACTTTTTTTTTCTTTATTGATTTTAGAGAGAGGGGAAGGGAGAGGAGAGGAAGAGAGAGATAGAAACATTGACGAGAGAGAACATCGATGGGCTGTCTTCTGCATGCCCCCCACTGGGCATTTGGCCCCCAGCCTGGGCATTTGCTCTGACAAGAGTCAAACTGGCGACCTCTTGGTGCATGGTTGATGCTCAGCCACTGAGCCACACCAGCGGGGCTGGGTTAGGAGATATTTATGTTGCTGTGAAATATCTAATAGGCAACATATGAAACTGCCTTTTTCCATAATGGATCTGACATTATTCAGATTTATAGCTAAATAGATTGTCACCTCATAACACTTTCTTTTACAACCAAGTACTATAATCATTTGTGTGAACTCATTTATTCTGGGAGTGGGAGGTGAAGGTGGATTGGGAAGGTAAAGGTTAAGAAAGGATAATAGTAGATCTATCTATTGTTATTCCATATTCCTTTCTAATGACATACCCACCTCCTCTCTGCTAAGTGTCACTAACTTGACTTCCCAGATATACAGGGGTGGCTCTGTCCCACTTCTTTCTAAATCATACCAGTTATAGCATCCTAATCTGTTTGTCTAGAAAGATCCTCAATTCAGCTCTCTAGTCTGACCTCTGTTTTTCATGTTATTATGTAATATGCTATTCTTGGCTTCCTGTGTAATATAAGACAATGCAAAAACTCCAGGTTTTCTGCTCAGATTGTTTGCATTGGGGTTTCTTAGCACACACACACACACACACACACACACACACATTTTTGTTAATCTTCACTGAACAATATTTTTTCCATTGATTTTTAGAGAGACTGGAAGAGGGGGAGGGGGAAAGAGAGAGAGACATTGATATGAGAGATGTCTCCTGCACATGCCCTGACTGGGGCTGGGGATTGAACATGCAACCCAGGTACGTGCCCTTGACTGGGAATCGAACCCATGACCCTTTGGTGTGTGGGCCAATGCTCTAACCACTGAACCACACTGGCCAGGGCCTTAACATATTTTGTGGTGAAAAACCAAATATTCCAGGGGAATAGAACTTAAAATTGAGAGTAAAAAATCTGTTTCTGCAGGATTTCTTCCCTAGATTTGAAATAATTGGTTTGATTTTTCTCCCCAGTTTTTCAGTTTAAACATCAACCGTGTCGTAGGCCATAATGTGTTTGTATGTGGGCTATTTATTTATTAAGATCTTACAGATACCAGTATCTGAAACTATCACACTTGTTTTTGTAGTTATCTAAACAAATTTGTTTGTTTCACCCCCTGCTCCATGTAAATAAGCCCAAGAGAGCAGGAACCTTGTCTATTTTGTTCTTAGTGCATAGTGTCAGAGTTAGCATTGGACAGTTACTGACTGGAAGAGTAACACTTCTACTTTGGGCCTTGGGAGGCTCTCCTTCTTATAATATTCCCATCTTTCTTTCAGCATTGGAGAGGGGTCTCTTGAAGACACTGCAGAAACTGGATGAATATCTAAATTCTCCCCTCCCTGATGAAATTGATGAAAATAGTATGGAGGACATTAAGTTTTCCACACGTAAATTTCTGGATGGCAATGAAATGACATTGGCTGATTGCAACCTGCTGCCCAAACTGCACATTGTCAAGGTAGGGCGTGGGGCCACATCGCCACTAGACCTAGTCTGTTATGTACTGAGATTGCACTTCCTGTGTAAACTTTTCTGATCTTTTAACATATGACTGGGAACCCCCCAAATAGTATGATTTAATGCTCTTAGGCAATAGAGTTAATTAAATGGAAAATTTTGTCTTAACATTGAGACATATGAGAAAGAGGAATATTATATTTTTCTATTTAAGGCAAAAATAATTTATTGAGCATTTATTGTGTGAGACACTGTTAAATAGGATAGTAGTAAATACCAGTTGTACAGTAAAGATTAAGCAAGAAAAACAGAGATCTAAAATAGTGTGTGTTTTTTAGAGTATCTGCCCATGGATGGCTCTTGGCCATCTCTCTGACAGTCAGGGCAGGTGTTTGCTGTCAGTGTCGCACTTCGGAATCTCTGGTGTAGTTTGCAGTTCTTATCATTATTTAAAATTCTAGTGGGAACGAAGGCGACTTCTGACTTCATGCTCCCCCTCGCTGGTGAAATTGATGAGAATGGTATAGAGGACATTAAGCGTTCTTTCAAATAGAAGAAGTTCTCAGAGATTCACAAAATCTGTGTTCCTTAAAAATCAGAGATATTTCTGGTTAACATGGAAAATAAATGTTTACTTTTGATCTCTTTGTATTACAGGTGGTGGCCAAAAAATATCGCAACTTTGATATTCCAAAAAGAATGACTGGCATCTGGAGATACTTAACTAATGCTTATAGCAGGGATGAGTTCACTAATACCTGTCCCAGTGATAAGGAGGTTGAAATAGCATATAGTGATGTAGCCAAAAGACTTACCAAGTAAAATATCACTTATGAGAGAGTTGTCATCACATCTTTTCCTGATTAAGAATATGCTTTTCCTAACAGACTGCTCCTCTTCCTATAAAGTAGAAATTTTATTTTGCATGAACATGGCAGTTATTGAAGATTAGGATAAAGGAATAGTAAGGTATAGTAGTTATCTTTAAACATACACTCCTAAGCAGTATTATTTTAAAATTCTTTTACCCTGCCTACCTCCCCTACCGTATCCTCCTCTCTTCTAATTTGGAGACACTTCATCACAAACTTTTTCCTTTAGAGGTAACTTGCCATCTCTCTAGAGCCCTCACCATTGTGTCCTTTCATTGTGTTTTCATGGCAGGACTTTTGAGGTGCAGTGTTTAACTGTTAAAATAGTAACCGTGACCTCATCAGTCATCCCCAAACTGGTGCACAATGCATGGTACAAGGAATATTTATGTATTTTTGGACTTTTATAATATTTAGTAAGAGTATATGAAAGGATTGCTACTGTATCAGAATACTCTGTTTCAGTTTAGTCTGTCCTGAGATGTACCTGAAAGATGTCACCACCAGAGAGGAGAGCCTTCTACAGAAAGTCACTACAGATTTTGCTGTTCTACTTTGTACATGGATTTTTACTTTCCTAAAAGCAGTTATCTTTTAGACCAATTATAACTTCTGACACTATGTAGAAGCTAAAAGTTTAAGATAAATCAATGGGCACCTTATATTCTGTCTAAATGTGGTATTCGCCATACTTATTTTGCCCAGTGCCATCCATTTGGAACGTTATTGCTTTCTTCCTTTATTTTGAAAAGCTCCTTTTTAGTAAGCATAGACCTTGCTGTTTGTAGATCTTTTGAGCAACACTACATAAACTGATATTTAGTTGATTTAGCTACAGCAGTACAATGATTAGTAAGGTAAAAAGTAACACAGACATTAACCTAAGGAATTTAGGGTGGGTTTGTCAAAATATCAAGTAGAATTTTGTTTCTAAAGCATATTTAATGTGGGTAATCTAAAGAATGCATTATACATCCTTTATTGAAAATAAAACACACAGATTAGCAGCTTTTTCATTCCACCCCCATTTACTCTTAGATCTTTGGCTCACTCCTTTTGGGCTAAATTGTAGTTGCTATGGTGAGTACGTATTTACTACAGTTTTGTCTAATGTTAATCATTGTATTTCCTTCAATTAAATTTTTCTACAGCCACACTGAGGAATAGCACTCTGCATGTTTGTATTTTTAAATTGAAGTCCTAAACTAGGGTTTTTTTGTGCTCTAACAAGGATGAACTTTGTGAAAATAAAACAGAAGTTTGCTGTGTATTTATTTTTTTAATTGGACTTTCTAAATACTACTCCAAAGATGGGGTTGAGATTATAATACATTTTTGCTAATTTTTTATACCTACCAAGTGTTATTTCTCATAGGCTGTTTTTGGAAATTTCAACTATATTACTTTGAAATGGCAATGATTTTCTCCCTTAGATATGCTAACATTTAGTAAGCACTGGCTTTATGGAAGCAGCCTGATTTTTATAAGCATACTGCATTTTTTTTAACCTACCAGTAATTAGTACAGAAAATAAGAAAAGCTCCATATTGTATCCATTTGGCTCAGGGAGATTATTTTTGCTTTCCTTTCTTAAAACTCCTTATTGCTGATCAAAAGTTTGAGCACCCACCGTTTAGTAATTAATATTGGATGCTGATTTATCTGGTTCCAGGAAGAAGTACTATCAGGTTGTCTGCTGTGAAATTGTATAGCAGCAGCTTCAGTGGGTGAGAATGTCACACCTGCACCAGTACACAGGCAGCCATCATCACTTTTCACCTAGTCTTAAATAGTGGTAACTGGGCATTCGGTTGATACTGAACCTTGCCTCAGAGCTTAAATTATGAAAAAGATTCAGAAGAAGGGGTGACTGTTCTTTCCAGTGAATGGTGGACTAAGTGGTGCAATGTAGAGGGTTAACGAGGAAAGAGCAACATCCCTTGAAATAGAGTGATGAAAAATAAATTCTGAAACTCAATTGTGAAACATTTTTGCCTTGGATATTTATTCTCTATCTTAAAAATCAAATTATCTTTTGATTCCACCTATCTGGCCTTCTCAATGTCCAAGGAAGGTAGGGCTGTTAAGATTTTGATGAAGGCAGAATGATTTTTTTCTCTGTAAAGACTTCATTACTTTATCAGGGAAGTTAGTCACATGAAATTGAGATGGGCAGATAGACAAAAGCCAGTAAATAGGATGATCCCAGCAAAAGCTCTTTTTCCCTATTATATATTTGTATAGAGATCATAGCTTAAATCTTAGGAGATTTGCATAGCAATTTGTGTAGTGTTTGGGTTGATATAATGGAAATCACCTGATATTATTTCTGCAACTACTGAATCATTTACCCCTTCATTTAAACCAACAAGATTAGAGTCTGAATGGAAGCTCTCACTATTTCCCAAGCTCTCTATTTCAGTTGATGGCTTCCTTTTTTTTTTTTTTTTTAAAAGTTAAATGTAGATTTTTCTATACAGTTCTCTTATCTTCTTTTACTAGGATTGTTGACTTGTGATTAAATTTATATAAGACTTTATTTCTTGATAACTTTGGCTTACACAACTTTAAGTCCTTGAGCAATCTATATACAATTAGGAGATTTCTGACATTTATTTTTTACCCTAAGTTGATCAACTCTAGAATTTAGGCAGTTTTGCTTCTGTTGAGTTTTGGATCTCCCCAGAAATGCATGTAGATAGATATTAAAAATCTATGAGGTAAAAATGATAAGAAATAAAAATATTTTTTCATTAACGTTTTTATACACATTTCATCAAGTTTATTGATCAACCAATTTCTTACACTGGTTATAATAGTATTTGATTCAGAGAGAGGGAAGCATTCATTATTGATATACTGTATGGGCTTTTTTATTTCATTCTTTATAAATTAAGGTTGGGGCTGTCAAAATTATATTTTTATTGTGAAAAATAAATTCAACTCCCCAAGTCATAATGTTGAACAGAATTGGAGTATTTTCTTTAGAATTACTTGAAAAGACAAATGAAAGCTTATTATAGAATGCTTGTATTTTCTTTGGTCTCTCTGGACCCAGTATATTGCTGGCAGCTATTGTATTAAAATAAAGTATATTTTCACTATCAATAAAGGTTCTTTTTTCTCCCCCCTCATGAAAATAAATAACAACTTGGGGTAAAAGTGTTTTAATTGAGACTACTTTTTTTCTACAGGTGGGTGGTTTAGCACAATTAATACATTAAAGGGAAAAAACCATATAATCTCAATAGGTGCATAAAATAATTGCATAAAAATTTTCATGATACTCATTCTTAGTAAAATAGGACCAGAGGTAAATTTTTTTCTAATCTGATAAAGACATCTGCCAAGAATCTACAGTACATTTCATATATAAATATGAAACAGATGCCCTCACACTAAAGTCAGGAATGAGACAGGATCACCCTCTATCTCAGCTATCTCCAGCTCCTTTATTAGAGGCATCGTAGCCAGTGCAGTAAAACCACTGAAAAGAATTCACCAAATGATTGTTCTTTGTCGATGAATGCATATACATAAAAGAAATTCCAATTCTACTGTTAGAAATAATAAGAAAAGTGAGCCAGATAACTAGATATACGAATGAGGAACAAAAATCAATATAACTACTATATACTAATATTTACCATATTAAACTTGATAAACTGGTAACTGGTTTCTTCTGGGGGAAGATGGTGACTGAGGAAAATGGGTGGGAAATCGTCAAAGATACTTTTTTGAGCTTTTAAAGTTTGTAACAAACATATTCCCCCCTCCACCCCCAAAGTGCTTTAAAAGATAAACAATAAGGTTATTTAGGATCAAATCTAACAAAGTGTACAATTCCTTTATGAAGGAAAGTAAAAAATGCTAGAAATCTGTCCAGTGGAGAGGTTTACCATGCTCACGGATGGATAACTTAAAAGCGTGAGAATTTCAATTCTGTCTCAAGTAATTTATAAATTCAGTATATCTCCAATGGAATAGCAACAGATTTCTTTCTTTGTTGTTGTAGGGGAGGGGGACTAGATAAATTGATTTAAAAAATTCATTTGGAAGAATTATGTCTCCAAATAGTTCACGTATCTGGAGGGGGTAGGGGAAGGAAACTTGCCTGAACATGCAAAGACTTAAAAGCTTACAGTAATTAGTGTGTAGGGTGGAGTAGGCCGCAGCAACACAACACTCCTGCTGCAACTACCAGAAAAGAAAAATGATTTAAAACACCCAAATAATATTTTTATGTATCAGAAAACTGGAAGCAAAATAAAGACTAACTGAATTGGAGTTTCAGAGGAGGGTCTTTCTGAGGTGAACTGATGGTGTGGCCCGTTTCTCCCCAGGGGCATCTACTGATCCTGGGCCTGGAACAGGTGGTTTGGTCCATGCAGAGGGGCTCTCTGCTGGAGAAAAGAAAACCGTAAGGTTCGTGGTTACAGGACACGAAACCTGAGACACCTCACACACATGGCTGGTTTTCTCAGGACATTTGCTGAACTTCAGAGCTGTACATGACATGCTAGGAGCCAAGCCAGGGGCTTCCGAAAGGCAGAGTGAAGTCTCCCACAACAGCACAAACTGATGAGACAAGATTTCATGAGGCAGGGCTTTCTCGAAACCAAGCAGCCTTGTGGTTGCCGGGCACTGGGAATGAGGGATTGACTGCAAACAGGTCTGGGGTATTTTGGGGGTGGCACGACTGTCTAAATATGTTGTAGGTAACGATCTAGTATTCAGTTATAGAAAGAATTCTTACAGCCAGTGATAAAGACATCCCAATTTAAAAACGAGCCAAGGGTTTGAATAGATATCTCCAAAGAAGATACACAAATGGCTAATAAACACATAAAAGAAGCTTAACCTTACTGGCCATCAGGGAAATGTAAATCAGAATTGTACACACAAACACCCTCGAGGATGACTGTAATCAAGAAGAATGACAATTTTAAGTGTTGACAATGATGTGGAGGAATTAGAACTCATATATTGCTGGTGGCAATGTAGAATGGTGCAGCTGATTTGGAAAACAGTTTGGCAGTTCCTAAAAAGTTCAACGTATCCAGCAATTCCTCTCCTAGGTTTGTAACTAGGAGAATTGAAAACATGTCCACATACCTTTTACATGGATGCGTGTAGTAGTGTTATTCGTAAAAGTAAAAAAAGCGGGGAGGCGGGGCCAGGGATAACCCAAGTATCCATTAACTGATGAATGGGTAAACAGAATGATATATCCAAAGAATGGAATACTACTCAGCCATAAAAAAGTAGATACAAACTACACTGTGAATGGACCTTGAGAACAAGATGCTCAGTGAAAGAAGCCAGACACAAAGGCCACATATTGTATTACTCCATTTATGTGAAATACGCAAGTGTACGGAGGCCTATAGTTAACTGGTGGTTGCCAGGAACTGGGGGAGGAAAAACGGAGTGACTCCACAAGTTAGTGAGTATGGGGTTTCTTTTTGGAGTGATGAAAATGTTTTGGAATTAAATAATGATAATGGTTGCACAACTTTGTGAATGTAATAAAAACCACCGACTTTTATAGTGTGAAAGGGTAAACTTCATGGTATATAAATTCTATCTCAAAAAATTGTAAGGGGTCAATTTGTCTTGCTAAAGTTTTGGATAATCAGTGTATTGACAGGTTGAGTGGCAAAGTTAGTGAGGTGTTTGAGTTAAAGTTCAAATTAAATGTCATCTAAATATATTCTTAAAGGGGAAAAAGAACAAAAAAGAATTGTGCTAATGGTTACTCAACTCTACAAATTTACTAAAAATCATTAGTTTTGTTTACTTAAAATGAGTGAATTCTCCAGTTTGTAAATTATACCTTAACAAAGCTTTCTTTTTAGAAAGCTTAAAGGCACAAATCTGAACTTAAGAATTCATTGTATGGGTTTAAAAGGATGGACACAGCAGAAGACAGGATTAGTGCTTGAAGACAGGTCAGTTGAGAAAAATGCAAACTGAAGCAAAGACAGTAAAAAGATTGCAAAAAAGCCCTGGCCAGTTTGGCTCAGTGGTTGGAGCGTCAGCCTGCGGTCCAAAGAGACCCAGGTTCGGTTCCCGCTAAGGGCACGTACCTCGGTTGCAGTTTGTCCCCAGCCCTGGTTGGGTTGTGCGGGTGGCAACCACTTGATGTGTCCCTTTCACGTCGATGTTTCTCTGTCTCCCTCCCACTCTCTCTGAATAAAATATTGAAAAATGTCCTCGGGTGAGGATTAAAAAAACAAAGATTGCAAAAAACAAAACAACAATAGATACCACAAGAAAAGAGCATAAGAGACGTGGAACACAATCTTAAGATAATGTGTAATTGAAGTCCCAGGCAGAAAGGAATTGGGGCAGAAGCAATATTCGATGAAATAATGGCTGAGGATTTTCCAGAACTGTTGACAGGTATCAACCCACAAATTCATAAAACTCCGCAAACTCCATATAGAATAAAAACAAAGAAACCAAACCAAGGAATATCATGGTCAAATTGCTAAAAACCAGAGAAAATTCTAAAGACAGCCAGAGAGAAAGGACACAAAACTTTTGAAAGTGTAACAATAAAACAAATGTCTGGCTTTTCAGCAGAAATTTGGAAGCTAGAAAATGGAATCTTCAAAGAGCTGAAAAAATCTGCCAACCTAGGATTCCATACTTACGTCAAAACATTCTCAAAGGCGAAAGCAAAATAAAGGCATTTCAGGCAGACAAAAGCTGTGAGAATTTGGCACCAGCAGGCCTGTGCGACAAAAAATACTGAAGTATTTTAGCCCAAAGGCAAATGACCCCAGATGGAAGTATAGAACCAGAAGGAAGAATGAAGAACATTGGAAAAGATAAATATGCATGTAGGCAAGTATTTAAAAATGTTGACTATTTAAATAACAATAATACATATACATATAGTCTTGAAGACATATACTGTTACAAAATATATAATGTGGAATTTAACAGCGGTAGAAGGGTGGAAGGAAGGTAAGTGGAGTTAAATACTTTTATGATCCTTACATTATTTGGCAAGTAAAAATACTAATTTAAGAAAACTATATTAGCCCTGGCCAGTGTGGCTCAGTTGATTGGGCGTCATCTCATGCACCGAAAGATTGCTGGTTCGATTCCTGGTCAGGGCACATGCCTGGGTTTCAGGCTCAATTCCCGGTGGGGGGCATGCAGAAGGCAGCCGATTGATGTTTCTATCCCTTCTTTTCTCTCTAAAAAAATCAATAAAAACATTTTTAAAAAGATAATTACAAGAATAAATAACTTTAAAAATCTAAGATTCAAGGGAAAATGGAAATTTAATAAATATCCAATGATGCCAAAAGAAAGCAGGGCAAGAGGACTAGATGAAAAAGAAAAATTGGAAAAATAGCAAGATGTTTGCTGTAAACCCTACACCATTAGTAATTATATAAATGTAAGTGGACTAAACAATTTGATGACAAGTCAGAGAGTGTCAAA